TCGGTTGTCCCATTGAATCTAGATCTTGGGATCTCCAGTCAACTAGGTTGGGTTGTCACCATGGAAACTTTTGATTATTTTATTAGTTTTAATCACATTCCCTTCGATGAACTTTCGACTTGCTTTCTTGTTAAACTTTTAGTTAGCGGATCCGCAATATTCTCTTTTGATTTCACATACTCTATAGAGATAATGCCTGTAGAGAACAATTGTCTAACAGTATTGTGTCTACGACATATATGTCGAGATTTACCATTATACATTGCATTTTGGGCCCTACCAATTGCTGATTGACTATCGCAATGGATACATATAGGAGGCACAGGTTTTGTCCAACATGAAATATCTTCTAGAAAGTTTCGTAGCCATTCGGCTTCTTCTCCGGCTTTGTCTAATGCAATGAATTCAGATTCCATTGTTGATCTAGTTATACATGTCTGTTTTGAAGATTTCCATGATATTGCAGCACCTCCAAGTGTAAAGACATATCCACTTGTTGATTTGGAGTCTTTAGTATTTGATATCCAATTTGCATCACAGTATCCTTCAAGTACTGCTGGATATCTCGAATAGTGCAATCCAAAATTTTGTGTATATTTTAAATACCCTAAAACTCTAACAATAGCCTTCCAATGATCAGTGCTTGGATTACTTGTATATCGACTTAGCCTACTAATTGAATAGGCAATATCAGGTCGAGTGCAATTCATGACATATATTAAACTGCCAATAATACAAGAGTATTCCAATTGAGACTTACTATCACCAGTCTTAGAAACAAGATGCATACTAACATCCATAGGTGTTTTCATAGGAATAATATTATATTTCTTGAATTTATCAAGAATCTTCTCAATGTAGTGTGATCGAGACAATATGAGACCATCAGATGTTCTAAAAATTTTAATTTCTAATATAAAATCCGCCACACCTAAATCCTTCATTTCAGATTTACCTGTTAGCATCCTTTTTGTAGTTTGAATTATGGTATCATTGTTACCCATAATTAACATGTCATCTACATATAAACATACCATGACATATCCATTTGGAGTGTTCCTGACATAAACACATTTGTCATACTAGTTAATTTTGAAACCATTTGACATCATAACCATGTCAAATTTTTCATGTCATTTCTTAGGAGCTTGCTTTAATCCATATAATGATTTAACAAGTCGACACACTTTCTTTTCTTGTCCTGAGGCTTCAAATCCTTCAGGTTGCTCCATATAAATTTCTTCATCTAATTTTCCATTCAAAAATGTCGTTTTAACATCCATTTGATATATATCCAAACCATTCAATGCTGCTACTGCAATAAACATACGTATAGAAGTGATTCTTGTCACAGGAGAATAGGTATCGAAATAATCAAAACCTTCTTTTTACTTGTAGCCTTTAGCGACAAGTATTGCTTTATATTTGTCAATTGATCCATCTGCTTTCATTTTCCTTTTGAAAATCCATTTACATCCCAAAGACTTATTACCGGGGGAGGTCTACTAATTCTCAAGTATGATTTTGTAGTATGGATTCAATTTCACTATGAACAGCTTCTTTCCAATATGAAGTTTCAGTTGATGACATAGCCTCTTTAAAATTTTGAGGTTCATTTTCTAACAAATATGTTAGAAAATCAGGCCCAAAGGAGGTTGACATCCTAGCCCCTCTTACTTTGTCTAGGTTGTTCATTTATAGATTATTGATCTATAGTCTCTTCATTTTCACGAGATCTCTTTTGTGAATTTGATTCACCTTACATGTTATAAGGAAAAATATTTTCAAAAAATGTAGCATCCCTTGATTCAATAATTGTATTAACATGCATATCAGGTATTTCAGACTTATATACCATAAATCTGTAAACATTACTATGGTGGGCATAACCAATGAATACACAATCAATGGTTTTAGGTCCTATCTTAACCCTTTTAGGTTTAGGAACTACTGCCTTAACCAAACATTCCCATACCTTCAAGTATTTATAATTAGGTTTGTGACCTTTCCATACTTCATAATGTATCTTTTGCGTTTTTCGATGTGGTAGTTTGTTAAGAATATAGTTGGCAGAAAGCAAGGCTTCCCCTCACAAGTTCTGTGGTAATCCAGAACTTATTAACATAGCATTCATCATCTCCTTCAATGTTCAATTCTTATACCATTAGATTGAGGAGAATAAGACGCGGTAGTTTGATGAATAATTCCGTGTTCCGAACAAAATTTCTCAAATGGTGAATTATATTCACCACCTTTATCACTTCTTATGGCCTTAATCTTTTTGCTAAGTTAATTTTCAACTTCTAACTTGTAGTGTTTAAACACTTCAATTGCTTCGTCTTTACTTTTGAGCAAATACACATAGGAATATCGAGTACAATCATCGATAAAAGTGATAAAGTACTTATTACCTCTCCTAGTTTGAACAAATTTTAAATCACATATGTCGGTGTGAATTAAATCTAGGGGTTCGGTACTTCTTTCAACAGAACGAAAGGGTAGACGTGACATTTTGGCTTCTATACATATATCGCATTTGTGATTATGATTTAAATCACACTTTGGTAATAAATCCAATTTGATTAGTCTACGCAAAGTGTTATAATTTGTATGTCATAATCGTTGATGCCAAATGTTAAATGATTTAAGCAAGTAAGAAGAAGATGTATTCTTATTCATAATTGGAGGTACAACAGTCATTACATTCAACTAAAAAAGCCTCTCATTCAGGTAGCCCTTTCCTACAAACATTTCATTCTTTGAGAGTACAAATTTGTCTGAGACAAATACTAGCTTAAACCCGTTCTTACTTAGTAGAGAACCAGATACCAAGTTTTTCCTAATATCGGGCACATGAAGAACATTATTCAAAGTGAGCTCTTTTCCACTTGTCATTTTCAGCACTATCTTCCCATGCCCTTCTACCTTGGAAGATGACGAGTTTCCCATGTAGAGATGTTCATCATGATCCATTACTTTGTAGGTAGAGAACATCCCGCGATTTGAGCATATGTGACGAGTAGCTCAGTATCCACCCACCACTCCTTAGTGTTTCCAATTAAGTTGCATTCAGAGACGACCGCAGAAAGATTCATGTCTTGTACCTTATCAGTGAGGTTCTCATGTTCTGTTACATTGGCTTGGTGAGTTTTTCCCTTCACATTCTTTGGCTTTCGACAATCCTTGGATCGATGTCCTGCCTTGCCACAATTGTAACAGTTGCCTTTAAATTTTTTAGTAGTTTTTGAAGAACCAATTTGTCATTCCCCATTGTGCTTCCTCTTTTTGCTAGTCTTGAAGCCTCCTTCTCCAATGTTGGCTTTTGATTCCAGCGAATGAGATGCACCATTCCTTTTTTCAGTTTTGCGATTGTCTTCTTCTATTCTCAATCGCACAATGATATCTTTAAGTTTCATTTCCTTCCGCTTGTGCTTTAGGTAATTCTTGAAATCCTTCCATAAATGTGGTAATTTCTCAATTAGTGCAGCGACTTGGAATGATTCACTTAGTTTCATTCCTTCGGCATGGATATCTCTAAGTATGATTTGAAGTTTTTGAACTTGGGATATAACAGTCTTGTTGTCAACCATTTTATAGTCCAAAAAACGACCGACAATGAATTTTTTCGTGCCGGCTTCTTCGATTTTGTACTTTGTGTCCAAAGATTCCCACAATTCTTTTGCGGACTTAATATTGCAGTACACATTATATAATGTGTTATCCAGTCCATTAAGTACATAATTTCTGCACAAGAAATTAGAATGCTTCCATGCATCAATCACAGCCAATTTTTTAGTATCACTGTCTTGCTCTGTATATGAAGGCGCGTCTTCTTTGAAAAATTTAGTCAGATTTAACGTTGTCAGATAAAAAATCATTTTTTGTTGCTAACGCTTGAAATCTGACCCATTAAACTTTTCTAGTTTTTCCCCGATCGTATTGGGGAGTGTAGTACCAGAAGTTGTCATTTTTGAAACACAATCAAAAGATCAACGGTAAGAAGGAGTAGAAACAGAAACAAAACAATAATAGAAAATTCGTTTTAAGATTGTTGATTCTAGAGTTTGACGTTACTCCTTCGAAACTAATTCGACAGAATCACCTGAATGTAAAGAAATGATCAACAGGATCCAAAAAGTAATTCGAGCCCACCGACTTCACGATATTTCTTTAAAACAAATTTGCTGTTTTCAATGGTGCTAAAGGCGTCCAGTAATCGTTTCTCATGATAGAACGAATTTTCGTCTCCTACGGAAATAGCACTGCAATCTGCAGGAGTTCCAACGAACTCAACGAAATGTATTTTATTTCGAGACAATATCAGAACGAGAGAGAGGGGAATGAGATTCAAAACACAGAAAGTTTGCAATGAAAATGGTGTAAATTTTCTGGTAGAGAGGCAGACTATTTATAGGCTTTTTCGTGGTCATTCGAACAGCCATCACCTTTCAAACAAACCTCAACAATCCGAACAGACATGCTGTTTTAAAAGTCGCGTCTGTTAAGTCGGTTAATAGTCGACTGTTTAGTCGGTAAACAGACGATTGTTAAAAGAAAATAAAACACCCGAAATAAGCCAAAATTTAAATTTCATAATGTACCCAAAAATTTGATTATTTACAATTTGACCCAAAATTTTAAATAAATTTTGTCCAAAATGGCCGAGCCGGCCGACTGGCGCGCGCGTGTGGGTTTATGATCGAACCCAATAAGATCTCTTCCTCCTTTCAAAAACTATTGGTACCCCTTGGGGTCCAAACTCAATTCCAAACTTCCACCTTATAAACTAAACCAAAGTTTTCTAATTTTCTTATGTAGGATAAGTGTTTGGAAAATTAAATTCTTCCATAATACTAAGTTTATGTGGTTACTTTAACACTTAATATTTCATTCAATTTTAAATGGTTTTCGAAAAATAAATATATCACGTTAATCATCTCGCGAAATAGAACGTGAATATACTAAATCCCGTATTAATTAAAAGACGGGTCCTACTGAAATTTGGGCTCAAAATTGACCCATTTCAACCATTTTTCCAACACCTCCATGGCCCACGCTCAAGAGAAAACGGATGGTGAGGGCTGCTAATCTTGCCGATTCTGGACATTCAATTTCAACATCTTCACATCAACATTGCAAGGTAAAAGCTTAATCTCCACAGTTAGGGCAAGTTTACTCATTCTTTTAAGAGTTATGTACTGAATTGAGGAGTTGGGAAAATTAGGCTTGGTTTTTCTGACTCGATTGATGCGGTTTATGCTTGTAATTAGACATGAATTCGCTCTTCCCTCTTTGATTTTATAGGTGTAGACAGGGTGTACGCAAAAATGACAGAGAAAAGAAAGAGTGTTGGATTTTACTGTAGCTTTTATTGATGTAACTGATAGTATTTTAAACACAGCTTTTGCTATGGAATAGAAACATGCTATTATTAGTCTCTACATTGTGTTCTTGTTCTTGATTCCTTTCGTTGCCTGATATTTTCTACCAGTAAAAGCTGTCCACAATAAATTCTCAATGAAATCTTGAAATATGCTTGCAGGTGAATAATGCAGGTATTTGGAAGCCTAAAAACCCACTTATACTTTACAGGTATTTATGTTGGGAAAAAAGGATGAGAATTTTGGGAGGGTATGTTTGTCTTTGTGTAATAGTTAAATGTTCATAAGAGATTACACATGTTTAGAACCTTTACAAGAAAGGAAAACAAAATTGCCTATTTTATGACAAAATAATTGGAATTTGTTTTGTATCTTTAGGCAAGGGTATTCACCCCAAGAATGAGTAATCCACTGTTTCACGAGAATAGCAAAATTACACCTGAAGCACATGTTATTATGCATTTTAAAGGATAAACTAATAGTCCACTACATTAGGTTTCAAGCTTTATTTGCTAGTATTGCTCCTATCATCTACTTAATTGCTAAAAGAGTCCTGTCCTGTGGTAGATTTTGTTTACTAGGTATAGGCAGGCCATCGAAAATGTGAGCAATTTTTCAGAAAATAGTCATTTTTGTAGACTTTTTTCTTGTATGGTTGGAAACATTCATCACCACCAAATACAGCAGTATAAGGAATCCGTTTGGACATTGATTGATGTCCAAAGAGGAAGGGGAAGAGATTGATAAGACTGGTGTTGAGGTTTGTGGCATTGATCTGGTCATGACCTAAGCAGGGGTGTCGAAGGTTAAGGCCGTCAAACATAGAAAAGGTTTGATTTGCGCCAATTTTAGTATCCTTTAACCTGCATTAAGGGTGCACTTGTGGCATTACAATGAAGTCGACTACCACAATGAAAGTTAATTCAAAATCATAAGCCACTTCAATTTTCACAATGTTACTTATTGTTGGTTATTACTTTCTTAAATGGGTTGTGGTGGACTTGAAATTTTTTGCAGTAGTTCTTATTGTCTGTGGACTTCAAAAGTGATTGCAATTTTGTTGTCTCTTAACTTTACATTGGAAAAAAATAATATTAACTTAATCTTACATAGAGGATAATGTTAAGACCAATAAAGTGATGTTAAGGGTGCTGATCCAGTTGCTGGTGCAGATGACCGTGTTATTATTATTTCATCTAATGAGGTACATGATCTCCCTCTCTCTTAGCTTTATATGTAGCGTAGTTTTAGTTAGCGTGTTCTTCCAGCAATTTGAGTTTCTGCATTTTGTTTAAGGTTTATGCCTTAAATTTGAACGTCTTAAGTGTATACTAAGGATTAGTGATGGCAACGGGGCGGGGTAAATTGCCATCCCTAAGGATTAAGATGGAGTTTGGCTTTATGTGTTTTCCAAAATGTCATCTAAGCTGTTTCACTTGTATGTCATTTTTAGGGTCTTGATGATGAGATGGGTGTACTTCTTTTGATTCACTGTATGTCCCCTCAAATGTTACAAAAGCCTTAATTACTTAACTAAAATTAAAAATCTGCACCTCTTATCAGTGATGCTAATTTTTCTCATACCAGTAGGCTAAATCAAGCTTTCAGTTGCAAAAGCTGGATTTGAGGGTTTTCAGAGGTATTAACTCGTGATTTGAATGAAATTACTAGATGGATATCTTGTTTGTCATCTTACTGAATTCTTGCAAGATTAATTATGAAAGTTTGCTTGTTTTTAAATTAAAGAATTTTAGTTGGACTTTTCTTGTTTGTTTTTTCCATTTTCAATAAGCAAGTGTCCTATTTGGCATCGAAAGAGGAATTGAAAAAATAAAGCGACCTGACTTACCAAGACCTGCTGAAGAGGCTCTTGCTCTCGAGGCAGAGGAAGCTAATCAAGAAGCATAATTTTGATGTACACAAGTTCGTGGAATTACAGAAGAAATGCAAATTACCTGTGCACACGTGTCCCTCTCAAAAAGTAGATGGGCATAGTAGAAGAACCAGAGGATCTTTTACCTGGCCATTGAAACCATGTAGTTGCTGCGGCTTCTTCAATCTTACATTTTAAATATATTTAGTTTCAGAGTCAACCAAAAGCTCCCATTTTCTTTGAGGGGGACATATTTCTTACAATTTGTATATCCTGCATCTCCTGAGCTATTTTTTATATAGGGAGTTGTACAAAGAGCCTACTGGAGATGCAGAATCTCAGGGAAAATCATCAGTGTGGAAAAATTTGAAGTCTCTTGGAAATAATATCATTGTTGGCTGGAGGACACTTTTAACTTCTTCTCGAGAAGATCACTGGAGATTAGAAGTTCTCCTGTCCAGCATTGAGGAGGCCGATGGGTGGTTTTACTCACTACTTAGTTTGTGATTTTTTTTTTTATTTTTTTTGGAAAATGTATTGGATTTTTACGTGTTTTAGAATTTTGGATCTGAAATTTGTACGGATATTGTTACATTTTGGAGTTCAATTAATAATGATTATCGGAGTTATTTGATATAGTTATTTTCTATTATTTTTTGTGATTGATATATGTAAATCATTGTACAAACAGAAAACTGAATATTTAAAAAAAAAAATGTAAAATGACCTACAGCAACGGTAAAAAAAAAAAAAAAGTTGCAAAAAATAAGGATAAAATCATAGATAACGCTCAAAAAATGTTGCAAATAACTTTTTGCAACGTTCAAAAAACGTTGCAAAAAGTTATTTGTAACGCGAAAGAAACGCTTCAAAAAGGTTTTTCGCAACGCGAAAAAAAATGTTGTCATATTCTTCACTCTATGGTAATATCGAGGTTTGCAGCATACAGTAAAACGTTGCAAAATGTCTTTCACAACGTTCCAATTTTTGTTGTAGTGACCTACACGTCGTTCCCCGTAGAACATTGAATAAATGTAAGAACAAAATAACCATTTTGCCGTCATAATCATTATCCTACTTAAGCTTGAATTTTCTTTCATAGTTTCTACGTGATTGAAATCGTGTAATTTATTTGTAGGCATTAAATACTGAGCTTAAATTTAAATTGCTCAAAAGAAAATACTTACGCAGATTCATTTGTTGATCCACATGGGTGACAAACACGTGTTCTCTATTTTACTTATTTTTCAGCTCCCTATTCACTAAGATGTGTGACAATATAATTAGATATCACCCATTGACACGTCAAAGATTCTAAATTTCAGAAGCCACTATTTAGATATGGATTTAGATAATCCATAAAGTTGTATCATAGTTTTTAATTCTTCTCATGATGATGTTATAGACTTACACTCTATATTGTGGTCATGTTCTTCTATACACTCTCAGATGTAGTACTATTAGTATTCTTGAGATCTTTTCGTTCACAATCAAGACAAAACTGCATATCCCAACATGTAAAGTAGTTGGCCTCATGACCTTATTAGCAAAGGTGTTGACCTTTATTCACCGATCTAATATAATTATTTTTCGATCCATATAGAAAAAAGTATATGTATGCTTCTCTACACAATCAATTTGTATGTCACCTATCAATATAAGACACTTGATCGCGTGCTCAATACAATAGAGTAATTTGTTTGAAGACATTAATAAATAATTTACTTAATAACATTCAAAATGTTTGACAATTACAATAAAATCTCGATACTTCTCGACACATATCCTAACAAATAAACTATTAAAGTTTTTATATTTGTAATTGAAAAAAAAAATTATTAGTATTTAAATAAATGATATTTAAAGGGAGCGACTATTTGCATCCACCATTCTTATGCATCTATCCATGTTAAAATTCTAGAAATGTATTATATTCATCCATAATACATTCAAATATTATCCTTATTAAACTATTCATCCATGACTATCCCTATTATAATTTTAAAATTTTCTCTATCCTACTTGAGATGATTAACAATAATATTTTTTAATGGAGTTTCACTTGCGAATTTAAATGAAGACTAGCAAAATCCACAAATGAAGCATTTATTTTCTTGTCAATTATTACTTTAATGGAGTTTCATTTCTTGCTTGCTATAGATGATGAAGACAAGCAAAATATCATTCAAAATTTACCCAAACAAGCATATGATATTTTAGAGAAAACTGCATTTCTTATGGTCCTCTAGAAGTTTAGATCATCGTTAATATTTTACGTACTAAAAAATATATTGTCATGGACGAAGTTTGACACAAGATAATGATCAAGGTGAATTTCGAATTCAAAATACATTTTATTTGTCGTTCTTGCACAACCTCTGTCAACAAAGACATCTGATAACTAGACAGAAAAATGATAGAAAAAAAAATGAAAATTAGGGGACTGCAAAAGAGAACGGATGGAGAAGCGTTAGGAGGTGTATTCATTTGGAACTTTTAAACATTTTCGACGATTTAAAAGTTTAGTTATATTCAATTGAGATTTTTAAAGACTCACTAAAAGTTTAAGTATATTCAATTGAGACTTCTTTAGACATTTAAAATGTTTTAATTAAATATCTTGTAACTTATATAAACTTTCTAAAAGTCTCTATAAATCATGAAATATTCAAATAGACAGTGACTTTTGCAGAACTCTTTACTTACTGACTTTTGGAGATTTTGGTGAAAAATATAAATAGCAAGTCTCAAAGAAAATCTCCCATATACTTGACACTTGTGAAAGTTTAAGAACAAATAATAATAATAATAATAATAATAATAATAATAATAATAATAAAAAAAGAAACAATGTCTTTTTTCTTTCATATAAGATTTTCTCATATTTTTTTTAATTCATTTGTTGTAATTAATTCATGATTATTCTATATGTATATAATTACTTTTGAATTGAAATTATATACAATTTTTTTTTAAATGTAGAATTCCAGATAATTGTCTTTTTTTTTCGATTAAGAACAATTTGTGTTTTTAGAAATTATGTTAATTTTGTGAAAAACTTTTGGTTATGTTCTTAGAAATTGATATAAAAGTTTTTCATTATTTTATTTGCCCCAAAATTGAATGACTAAGCCGTCACTAGTTACTTTACCCAAAAAAAATTGTGGGCATCATTGTTTTTGAAAATGTTAATTAGATAGTAAGTAAGATTGTAATTTTCCATGTATATAATTAAATTGCAAGATGAAAAGTCTTTAATCGAAGCCTACAAAAGTGCAAGAAAAACTTTTATTAATTCTTAACAAATCTATAGAAGGCATTTAAAAGTCTATAAAATCCACAAAAGTCACCCACTTAAAAATGTTTATAGAAATCCTTAAAAATCCTAATTGAATACACTTCCCTTAGTCTCATAAGCGTGGAATGGTACAAGAATATTATCAAAATTATTTAATGAGGATAGATATTAGTATATGAATTTAGAGTGATAAATTTTATTTATTTTTATTCTTGTCTATTTAAATAAATTTACATAAGGTTAAAAACGTAAGAATGATGGATAAAAATAACGACATTCTATTTAAATTGAGCGAAAAGAAAGTCTCCTTTAAAATTATTTTAAAATAATATATTATCACTTTCTTTCAATTAATTAATTTCTTGTTAGGAAAATTGCTTTACCTAATTCACTAACTCTTGAGATTCTCCATCTTGCCCTTTCCCTCATCCGCAAGCCACCTCCAAGCGCCCATCATATTCCAAATGGGTAAACAACATCGTTAAATTAATAAAATAACTCTTGAGGTCATTGAGTTTGCTTAACTTTTTATTTTAGTCGTTAAATTATTTTCTTTACTAATTTAATCACTCAAGTTTACTTATAATATCTCACTTCACAATTTTGTCCAAATTTCGATTACATGGCCAGGATTTTTCTTATCTATATAGAAATAGATGTTATCGTAAAAATAAACTAGATATCAAGATTTTTCCATAGAAATTTGTCATTCATATAAAACATACATATGGATGTTATTCTTTATATAAAGTCATTTATATACGAGTCAGAGACTTATGAGGAAAAATTAATCTGCTGTGGGGTTATTGTTAAAATCGTGTATGAATAATGAATTTTGAGGAAAAAACTATACAATAATATTTGGACCTTTTTCTTTTTTTTTTGGTTAAAAATGTCCATTTGGATCCACACACACACACAAAAAAAAAGGAAAAGAAAAGAAAAGAAATAGCAAAACACCCCACCTCTACCTCAATTGTTATGGTTTATTATTTATATGTAGATTTAAATATAAATCTTGTTTAATAATATAAAATTAAAATAAAGAAATATGTAGACAAAGCGAGAAATATAAATATTTTAACTCCATTCGACCTCGCAAAAATTTATGATAGAATGAGAACAATGAGCGATGCTCTGATCCATGGTAGCACAGCACCATCATATCCATTGTCATCCTTATGGAAAACATTGATCACATATTTGGCTCTATTGGAGCTACATTTTTTTTTTTTTAAAAATACATTTTTAATAGTAAATTGACATTATTTCAATCGCACATTTTTCAATAAAATAATATTACACATAAATTCAAAACTATTCTTTATTTTTAATCACATATTTCTCATCAATACACTCTTCAAAAATACATTCTTATAAAAATAATGTGGCTCAAACAAGGGCTAATATATGGATGAATGGGCGATGGCCGAACAACAAAGTTGAGATTTTAGGTAAACTTGAGTGACTCAAGAGAAAAAAGGTTAGGGACTAAAATGAAATTTTCGGCACAGTTCAATGACCTCCAGTTTTACAAATCTCTCCTTGAAGCACATACAAATTCACAACCCCAATTCCACCATAAGAGACAACCCATCTAATCGATCAAAAAACTGAATTTTTTTCGTAATTATCCGGTGGAGAGTGAAGCCCTACATGGCGGGTTTATCTCTGAAATGCGGAGACTGCGGAACCCTATTAAAGTCTGTAGAGGAAGCCCAGGAGCATGCTGAGCTGACCAAACACGCCAATTTCGTTGAATTCACTGAAGCGGTGCTCAATCTAGTCTGCGTCACCTGTGGCAAGCCCTGCCGATCCAAAACTGTACTCTTTCTATTCCATTAATTGATCTAATTCTCTCAAATGTGGGTTTACTTGTTTCAGTAGAAAATTTTGCACAAGGTATTTTACTGAGATATAATATGTAATTTATCACTATCTGGGTTCACTTTTATTTTTTATTTTTTTAAATCTCCATTTTAAATATCAAATAGAAAAAGGCTAATTCTGTTGGGATCGATAACTAGTGTGACAGTGTTAGTGTCTCGACTATAAGAGTATTGTTCCAAGATCATTATTGCACTTATTTTGTGTGGGCTTCAAACATTTTTTTCGCTCCGCTTGAAACTTCAAAAGTGAATCAAAAAGATCCAGTCTATGGATTTAGGGGTTCCTTTGTACAGATGTGGATATATGCTAAATAATATCTGCACATATAAAACGTAGGTATATGAAACCTAAACAATTATGGGTCAATTCACAGCATCTGAAGCGTGCTATGGGAATTGCAAAATCTTGTGCTTGTGGATATAATCACATCTTGAACTAGTTCTATCCAATTTCTTATTTATCCGTGTATGAATGTAATGTGTGTATATTTGTCGAAGGGGTTTGGAAGTGAAAGATCATATAACTGATATTCTGTAGAGATGTTATAGTTCGAAAGGAACTGACAATGTGCAAAGGACTGTATGACTGCTTTTGAATCATTGATTGATTTTTTTTTCTGGAAGTTTCTGCATGGGAACTTTTCCTCATCTATGCTCTTAGCATTGACTTTTTGCAGTAGAAGTTTGAATAAGCAAGTGAGCTTGAAATTTGTTTTTCTTGGACTAACAATTGCCTTGGATAATGAAACTCAACATTTCAGTGTTTCTAAAGACAATATGTGAAGTTTTATATGTTAAAATAGTTAGAAGATTTCTTGGTCGCAGCTTTGGCTATTGTTATTGTTGTAGGATAAAATCATATGGGGATATATTTTTTTTTTTTCCTTTTTGAAGAATTGTAGGCAGTCATTTTAATGGTCTTTTAGTTTGTTCTTCTATTTCTTTCCATCTTAAGAAAATAAACTTGATATGCCATTATTGTAGAATCTTCAAGCAATTAAATTGCTTCCTTTTTTCAGGTTGTTCTATATCGTTGAGAAATAATTTAGAATGATATCTGATTACTGTATGAAAGACTGTAAATTATACTTACAACTAAGAGTAATCTATTCAAATAATCTTTTCTTTTATGTAATTGTGTTTTTTCACAATTGATATCATGTATTTGTGGTGGGTTAACTACTAGTTTGTCTTTGCTACTTGGGAACTATGAATATCAAATCAAAACCCAGATAAAATCAAGCATGCAGTGCTTGCTGTATTTATGTATTCTATTAATATTCTGTTTTTGGAGGTCCTTTTTTAGTGTGTACTACAATTACATACATGTATGAGAGATTATAAGGAGTTATTATCACTCCATGCAATGGCTGCTGTGAATAATTGTTTATTAATTCACAAGTCTACTGTGGGTTTTTGCCTTTTTGGGTTTCTGATGTGTTTGTTTTTCTGAGTGAAGGAAAGTGATTTGCATACTAAGAGGACAGGACACACTGAGTTTGCAGACAAAACTTCAGAGGCTGCAAAGCCAATAAGTTTGGAGGCTCCAAAACCAAAAGATGACGTTGATATGGTGGAGGCTGGCGATGGTAGTAATAGTAACAAAGAAGGTAATGATTACATCCACATACTTAAAGCTAAGCTAGTTATTGTGTTTGATTTACCCTCTACTATTAATTCATTGTTATATTAAGCTGAGCTTGCAATTGTGAATTATGAGTTGATAATTAAAGATTTCTCTCGAGGCAAGATTAAATAAATGAAGATTTTTCTTGATGTTTAAATTGAGACATCGGCAATCTAAAATGCAGTGTAATTAGAAGTGATGCTGATTAAAATTCCAATTGGGAAAGAGGGAAATAACTTGTCAATGAAATTATGTATGAAGTCAATTTTTTCTTTTCCTTCTGAAGTTATGCAGATTAATTCATTAACAGTGAGTCTATCCATCAATGAAAAGATTGCAAATTTCCTATTGCGTGATGTTACCAGATTAAAGTTTAAAATTCAATATTTTTTTGAATGTATATTTAACTGCATTCGGAGATTACTGTCTTTTTACTTAATGTGGTTGCCTAATTTTCCTTCTGGTTATAGAATTGGTTGTTCCAGAAGTTGATCAGCAGTTGCTCGTGCAACTTGAGGAAATGGGGTTTTCTAAGGAAAGGGCAACTAGAGCACTCCACTATTCAGGTGAGTTTCTCTAAAATAAGTATCTTCATGTTATGGCTTTCGTTTTTTTTTCGAAAAATAAATATATCACGTTAATCATCTCGCGGAGTAGAACGTGAATATGCTATATTCCGTATTAAAATTGAGCCATTTCAACCATTTTTCCAACACCTCCATGGCCCAAGCTCAAGAGAAAACGGATAGTGCGGGCTGCTAATCTTGCCGATTCTGGACATTCAATTTCAACATCTTCACATCAACATTGCAAGGTAAAAGCTTAATCTCCACAGTTAGGGCAAGTTTACTCATTCTTTTAAGAGTTATGTACTGAATTGAGGAGTTGGGAAAATTAGGCTTGGTTTTTCTGACTCGATTGATGCGGTTTATGCTTGTAATTAGACATGAATTCGCTCTTCCCTCTTTGATTTTATAGGTGTAGACAGGGTGTACGCAAAAATGACAGAGAAAAGAAAGAGTGTTGGATTTTACTGTAGCTTTTATTGATGTAACTGATAGTATTTTAAACACAGCTTTTGCTATGGAATAGAAACATGCTATTATTAGTCTCTACATTGTGTTCTTGTTCTCGATTCCTTTCCTTGCCTGATATTTTCTACCAGTAAAAGCTGTCCACAATAAATTCTCAATGAAATCTTGAAATATGCTTGCAGGTGAATAATGCAGGTATTTGGAAGCCTAAAAACCCACTTATACTTTACAGGTATTTATGTTGGGAAAAAAGGATGAGAATTTTGGGAGGGTATGTTTGTCTTTGTGTAATAGTTAAATGTTCATAAGAGATTACACATGTTTAGAACCTTTACAAGAAAGGAAAACAAAATTGCCTATTTTATGACAAAATAATTGGAATTTGTTTTGTATCTTTAGGCAAGGGTATTCACCCCAAGAATGAGTAATCCACTGTTTCACGAGAATAGCAAAATTACACCTGAAGCACATGTTATTATGCATTTTAAAGGATAAACTAATAGTCCACTACATTAGGTTTCAAGCTTTATTTGCTAGTATTGCTCCTATCATCTACTTAATTGCTAAAAGAGTCCTGTCCTGTGGTAGATTTTGTTTACTAGGTATAGGCAGGCCATCGAAAATGTGAGCAATTTTTCAGAAAATAGTCATTTTTGTAGACTTTTTTCTTGTATGGTTGGAAACATTCATCACCACCAAATACAGCAGTATAAGGAATCCGTTTGGACATTGATTGATGTCCAAAGAGGAAGGGGAAGAGATTGATAAGACTGGTGTTGAGGTTTGTGGCATTGATCTGGTCATGACCTAAGCAGGGGTGTCGAAGGTTAAGGCCGTCAAACATAGAAAAGGTTTGATTTGCGCCAATTTTAGTATCCTTTAACCTGCATTAAGGGTGCACTTGTGGCATTACAATGAAGTCGACTACCACAATGAAAGTTAATTCAAAATCATAAGCCACTTCAATTTTCACAATGTTACTTATTGTTGGTTATTACTTTCTTAAATGGGTTGTGGTGGACTTGAAATTTTTTGCAGTAGTTCTTATTGTCTGTGGACTTCAAAAGTGATTGCAATTTTGTTGTCTCTTAACTTTACATTGGAAAAAAATAATATTAACTTAATCTTACATAGAGGATAATGTTAAGACGAATAAAGTGATGTTAAGGGTGCTGATCCAGTTGCTGGTGCAGATGACCGTGTTATTATTATTTCATCTAATGAGGTACATGATCTCCCTCTCTCTTAGCTTTATATGTAGCATAGTTTTAGTTAGCGTGTTCTTCCAGCAATTTGAGTTTCTGCATTTTGTTTAAGGTTTATGCCTTAAATTTGAACATCTTAAGTGTATACTAAGGATTAGTGATGGCAACGGGGCGGGGTAAATTGCCATCCCTAAGGATTAAGATGGAGTTTGGCTTTATGTGTTTTCCAAAATGTCATCGAAGCTGTTTCACTTGTATGTCATTTTTAGGGTCTTGATGATGAGATGGGTTTACTTCTTTTGATTCACTGTATGTCCCCTCAAATGTTACAAAAGCCTTAATTACTTAACTAAAATTAAAAATCTGCACTTCTTATCAGTGATGCTAATTTTTCTCATACCAGTAGGCTAAATCAAGCTTTCAGTTGCAAAAGCTGGATTTGAGGGTTTTCAGAGGTATTAACTCGTGATTTGAATGAAATTACTGGATGGATATCTTGTTTGTCATTTTACTGAATTCTTGCAAGATTAATTATGAAAGTTTGCTTGTTTTTAAATTAAAGAATTTTAGTTGGACTTTTCTTGTTTGTTTTTTCCATTTTCAATAAGCAAGTGTCCTATATGGCATCGAAAGAGGAATTGAAAAAATAAAGCGACCTGACTTACCAAGACCTGCTGAAGAGGCTTTTGCTCTCGAGGCAGAGGAAGCTAATCAAGAAGCATAATTTTGATGTACACAAGTTCGTGGAATTACAGAAGAAATACAAATTACCTATGCACACGTGTCCCTCTCAAAAAGCAGATGGGCATAGTAGAAGAACCAGAGGATCTTTTACCTGGCCATTGAAACCATGTAGTTGCTGCGGCTTCTTCAATCTTACATTTTAAATATATTTAGTTTCGGAGTCAACCGAAAGCTCCCATTTTCTTTGAGGGGGACTCATATTTCTTACAATTTGTATATCCTGCATCTCTTGAGAAGTCTTACTATTTTTTATATAGGGAGTTGTACAAAGAGCCTACTGGAGATGCAGAATCTCAAGGAAAATCATCAGTGTGGAAAAATTTGAAGTCTCTTGGAAATAATATCATTGTTGGCTGGAGGACACTTTTAACTTCTTCTCGAGAAGATCACTGGAGATTAGAAGTTCTCCATTCCAGCATTGAGGAGGCCGATGGGTGGTTTTACTCACTACTTAGTTTGTGATTTTTTTTTATTTTTTATTTTATTTTGGGAAAATGTATTGAATTTTTAGGTGTTTTAGAATTTTGGATCTGAATTTTGTACAGATATTGTTACATTTTGGAGTTCAATTAATAATGATTATCGGAGTTATTTGATATAGTTATCTTCTATTATTTTTTGTGATTGATATATGTAAATCATTGAAAAATGTAAAATGACCTACAGCAACGGTAAAAAAAAAAGTTGCAAAAAATAAGGACAAAAAACGTTGCAAAAAGTTATTTGCAACGTGAAAGAAACGCTGCAAAAAGGTTTTTCTAAATGCGAAAAAAAACGTTGTCGTATTCTTCACTTTATGGTAACATCGAGGTTTGCCACATATGGTAAAACGTTGCAAAAGGTCTTTCACAACGTTCCAATTTTTGTTGTAGTGACCTATACGTTGTTCCTCGTAGAACATTGAATAAATGTAAGAACAAAATAACCATTTTGCCGTCATAATCATTATCCTACTTAAGCTTGAATTTTCTTTCATAGTTTATACGTGATCGAAATTGTGTAATTTATTTGTTAGACATTAAATACTGAGCTTAAATTTAAATTGCTCAAAAGAAAATACTTACGCAGATTCATTTGTTGATCCACATGGGTGACAAACACGTGTTCTCTATTTTACTTATTTTTCAGCTCCCTATCCAACAAGATGTGTGACAATATAATTAGATATCACTCATTGACACGTCAAAGATTCTAAAATTCAGAAGCCACTATTTAGATATGGATTTAGATAATCCATAAAGTTGTATCATAGTTTTTAATTCTTCTCATGACGATGTTATAGACTTACACTCTATATTGTGGTCATGTTCTATACACTCTCAGATATACTACTATTAGTATTCTTGAGATCTTTTCGTTCACAATCAAGACAAAACCGCATATCCCAACATGTAAAGTGGTTGGCCTCATGACCTTATTAGCAAAGGTGTTGACCTTTATTCACTGATCTACTATAATTATTTTTCGATCCATATAGAAAAAAGTATATGTATGCTTCTCTACACAATCAATTTGTATGTCACCTATCAATATAAGACACTTGATCGCGTGCTCAATACAATAGAGTAATTTGTTTAAAGACATTAATAAATAATTTACTTAATAACATTCAAAATGTTTGACAATTACAATAAGATCTCGATACTTCTTGACACATATCCTAACAAATAAACTATTAAAGTTTTTATATTTGTAATTGAAAAAAAAATTATTAGTATTTAAATAAAGGATATTTAAAGGGAACGACTATTTGCATCCACCATTCTTATGCATCTATCCATGTTAAAATTCTAGAAATGTATTATATTCATCCATAATACATTCAAATATTATCCTTATTAAACTATTCATCCATAACTATCCCTATTATAATTTTAAAATTTTCTCTATCCTACTTGAGATGATTAACAATAATATTTTTTAATGGAGTTTCACTTGCGAATTTAAATGAAGACTAGCAAAATCCACAAATGAAGCAATTATTTTCTTGTCAATTATTACTTTAATGGAGTTTCATTTCTTGCTTGCTATAGATGATGAAGACAAGCAAAATATCATTCAAAATTTACCCAAACAAGCATATGATATTTTAGAGAAAACTGCATTTCTTATGGTCCTCTAGAAGTTTAGATCGTCGTTAATATTTTACGTACTAAAAAATATATTGTCATGGACGAAGTTTGACACAAGATAATGATTAAGGTGAATTTCGAATTCAGAATACATTTTATTTGTCGTTCTTGCACAGCCTCTGTCAACAAAGACATCTGATAACTAGATAGAAAAATGATAGAAAAAAATGAAAATTAGGGGACTGCAAAAGAGAACAGATGGAGAAGTGTTAGGAGGTGTATTCATTTGGAACTTTTAAACATTTTTGACGATTTAAAAGTTTAGTTATATTCAATTGAGATTTTTAAAGACTCACTAAAAGTTTAAGTATATTCAATTGAGACTTCTTTATATATTTAAAATGTTTTAATTAAATATCTTGTAACTTATATAAGCTTTTTAAAAGTCTTTATAAATCATGAAATATTCAAATAGACAGTGACTTTTGGAGAACTCTTTACTTACTGACTTTTGAAGATTTAGGTGAAAAATATAAATAGCAAATTTTAAAGAAAATCTCTCATATACTTGACACTTGTGAAAATTTAAGAACAAAATAATAATAATAATAATAATAATAATAATAATAATAAAGAAAGAAACAATGTCTTTTTTCTTTCATATAAGATTTTCTCTCTTTTTTTTTAAATCATTTGTTGTAATTAATTCATGATTATTCTATATGTACATAATTACTTTTGAATTGAAATTATATACAATTTTTTTTTTAAATGTAGAATTCCAGATGATTGTCTATTCTTTCTTTTTTTTCGATTAAGAACAATTTGTGTTTTTAGAAATTATGTTAATTTTGTGAAAAACTTTTGGTTATGTTCTTAGAAATTGATATAAAAGTTTTTCATTATTTTATTTGCCCCAAAATTGAATGACTAAGCCGTCACTAGTTACTTTACCCAAAAAAAATTGTGGGCATCATTGTTTTTGAAAATGTTAATTAGATAGTAAGTAAGATTGTAATTTTCCATGTATATAATTAAATTGCAAGATGAAAAGTCTTTAATCGAAGCCTACAAAAGTGCATGAAAAACTTTTATTAATTCTTAACAAATCTATAGAAGGCATTTAAAAGTCTATAAAATTCACAAAAGTCACCCACTTAAAAATGTTTATAGAAATCCTTAAAAATCCTAATTGAATACACCTCCCTTAGTCTCTTAAGCGTGGAATGGTACAAGAATATTATCAAAATTATTTAATGAGGATAGATATTAGTATATGAATTTAGAGCGATAAATTTTATTTATTTTTATTCTTGTCTATTTAAATAAATTTACATAAGGTTAAAAACGTAAGAATGATGGATAAAAATAACGACATTCTATTTAAATTGAGCGAAAAGAAAGTCTCCTTTAAAATTATTTTAAAATAATATATTATTACTTTCTTTCAATTAATTAATTTCTTGTTAGGAAAATTGCTTTACCTAATTCACTAACTCTTGAGATTCTCCATCTTGCCCTTTCCCTCATCCGCAAGCCACCTCCAAGCGCCCATCATATTCCGAATGGGTAAACAACATCGTTAAATTAATAAAATAACTCTTGAGGTCATTGAGTTTGCTTAACTTTTTATTTTAGTCGTTAAATTATTTTCTTTACTAATTTAATCACTCGAGTTTACTTATAATATCTCACTTCACAATTTTGTCCAAATTTCGATTACATGGCCAGGATTTTTCTTATCTATATAGAAATAGATGTTATCGTAAAAATAAACTAGATATCAAGATTTTTCCATAGAAATTTGTCATTCATATAAAACATACATATGGATGTTATTCTTTATATAAAGTCATTTATATACGAGTCAGAGACTTATGAGGAAAAATTAATCTGCTGTGAGGTTATTGTTAAAATCGTGTATGAATAATGAATTTTGAGGAAAAAACTATACAATAATATTTGGACCTTTTTATTTTTTTTGGTTAAAAATGTCCATTTGGATCCACACACACACACAAAAAAAAAAGGAAAAGAAAAGAAAAGAAATAGCAAAACACCCCACTTCTACCTCAATTGTTATGGTTTATTATTTATATGTAGATTTAAATATAAATCTTGTTTAATAATATAAAATTAAAATAAAGAAATATGTAGACAAAGCGAGAAATATAACTATTTTAACTCCATTCGATCTCGCAAAAATTTATGATAGAACGAGAACAATGAGCACTGCTCTGATCCATGGCAACACAGCACCATCATATCCATTGTCATCCTTATGGAAAACACTGATCACATATTTGGCTCTATTGAAGCTACATTCTTTAAAAAAAAAAAAAATACATTCTTAAATAGTAAATTGACATCATTTCAACATCACATTCTTCAATAAAATAATATTATACACAAATTCAAAACTATTCTTTATTTTTAACAACACATTTCTCATCAATAGACTCTTCAAAAATACATTCTTATAAAAATAATGTGGCTCAAACAAGGACTAATATATGGATGAATGGACGATGGCAAAACAACAAAGTTGAGATTTTAGGTAAACTTGAGTGACTCACAAGAAAAAAGGTTAGGGACTAAAATGAAATTTTCGGCACAGTTCAATGACCTCCAGTTTTACAAATCTCTCCTTGAAGCACATACAAATTCACAACCCCAATTCCACCATAAGAGACAACCAATCTAATCGATCAAAAAACTGAATTTTTTTCGTAATTATCCGGTGGAGAGTGAAGCTCTACATGGCGGGTTTATCTCTGAAATGCGGAGACTGCGGAACCCTATTAAAGTCTGTAGAGGAAGCCCAGGAGCATGCTGAGCTGACCAAACATGCCAATTTCGTTGAATCGACTGAAGCGGTGCTCAATCTAGTCTGCGTCAGCTGTGGCAAGCCCTGCCGATCCAAAACTGTACTATTTCTATTCCATTAATTGATCTAATTCTCTCAAACGTGGGTTTACTTGTTTCAGTAGAAAATTTTGCACAAGGTATTTTACTGAGATATAATATGTAATTTATCACTATCTGGGTTCACTTTTATTTTTTATTTTTTTAAATCTCCATTTTAAATATCAAATAGAAAAAGGCTAATTCTGTTGGGATCGATAACTAGTGTGACAGTGTTAGTGTCTCGACTATAAGAGTATTGTTCCAAGATCATTATTGCACTTATTTTGTGTGGGCTTCAAACATTTTTTTCGCTCCGCTTGAAACTTCAAAAGTGAATCAAAAAGATCCAGTCTATGGATTTAGGGGTTCCTTTGTACAGATGTGGATATATGCTAAATAATATCTGCACATATAAAACGTAGGTATATGAAACCTAAACAATTATGGGTCAATTCACAGCATCTGAAGCGTGCTATGGGAATTGCAAAATCTTGTGCTTGTGGATATAATCACATCTTGAACTAGTTCTATCCAATTTCTTATTTATCCGTGTATGAATGTAATGTGTGTATATTTGTCGAAGGGGTTTGGAAGTGAAAGATCATAGAACTGATATTCT